AGCAGCCCAGGGGCCCATCAAGTGAATGAATCCACAAACTGTTACGTCCACACACGGAATAATAATCAGCGATATAAAGGAGCAATCTACGGCCAGATAAAACAACATGCATGGACTTAAAAAATATTTTTTTCCTGAAAGGAACCAGACTCACAAACATATGCGCTGAGGGATTCTATTTATAGGCCATTCTAGAATAGACAAAACTCATCTGTGGTGATGGAAATCAGACTAGGAGGAGGGAGGGAGAGATGAGTGGGAAGGGGCCGAGGAAACTGGTGGGAGGGAGGTGCGATGGGTCCTGATAACCATTCATCAGACAGACTGGGTAGTACATCAAGGTCAGAGCATTCTTTTCTTTTGCATTGACAAACTTCTATTTTTAATATTTACCGCTGATTTTTTTTTTCAATTGGAGTATAACTGCCTTAAGGTGCTGTGTTAATTTCTGCTGTACAACAAGCTGAATCAGCTGTATGCACACATATACCGCCTCCCCCCACCCCACTCCCGTCCCACCGCAGAGCACGGAGCTGAGGCCCCTGTGCTTCCCAGTAGCTGTCAGTCTTACACATGATAGTGTATACATGTCAGTGCTACTCTTTCAAATCATCATGGACCTACTTACAGGGCAGGAATAGAGACACAGATGTAGAGAAAGGACTTGTGGACATGGGGTGGGGTGGGAGAAGGAGAGGGTAGGGTGAACTGAGAGAAGGTCAGAGCATTCTGCTGACGGAAGTTACACGCATGAAACAAAAGCAGACAACACAGTGAGGGGTTCTGGCGTGTCTCAGTGATGGCAGGAGGGATTTGCAACTTGAAATGGGGTGGCCCTGGAAGGCCTCATGGAAGAGGTCTTACAGAAAGCGAGGGAGGAAACCATGAGGGTGTCTTGGAAAAGACAGTCCAGGCAGAGAGCACAGGAAGTGATCCTCTCGGCTGCAATAACAGTTCCACAGACTGCCAAGTGGTTTAAACAATGGAAATTTATCTTCTCTGAGTTCTGAAGGCTAGAAGTCCAAGATCAAGGTGTTGGCAGAGTTGACTTCTTCCGAGGCCTGTCTCTCTGGCTTGCCGATGGCCTTCATTTCCCTGTGTCATCACTCCGTCTGTGTGTGTCTGGGTCCTAATCCCTTCTTATAATGACGCCAGTCAGACTGGATGGGGGCCCATCCTAGTGGCCCCATTTTAACTTCATTGCCTCTTGAAGGGCCCTGTCTCCACATCCAGTCATATTCTGAAGTATTGGGGGTGAGGGCGTCAATATGGGAAGTTTAGAGGACACGATCCAGCCAGTGTCTGCGGAAGAGCAGGAACACAGATGCAGAGAGCGGTGTGCACTCTGCTGGCTGGTACCCGGCTGCTGGTTTCCGCCGCTCGCTGTGATGAAGGTGTCCATCTGGGACAAGGTGGGATGAGGGCTTTGCGGGAGAGGATGGATGGGCAGTGGGAGAGGCCGGAGGTCGCAGTTCCTGTGATGGCTTTTCACTAACTCACAGCAGTGGGAGAGCTGGCTTCCAGAAAGCCAGCGGCCTTCTGATTGAGGGTCAGGACACAGATTCGCTTTCTGTTGAGAAATGACACGGGGCCCTCGGGGCGGGTGGAGTCTAGTCACAGATACTGATGGGGCTTGTCAGGCTATTGTCCACTCTTTGCAAGCCCAGTGGCCCCAGGTGCCAGGGCTGGATGTCACTGCTGCTCTGACAGCAACAGCAGCTGTGGCCAAGGGGGTCCTGGTTCCGGGGTTAGAGGGCCACTGAGTCCTCAAAGCAGTTCTTTTCTTTCTGTGACTGATCAAGAGAAATGAGACAGATGAACCTATTTGCAGGGCAGGAATAGAGACACAGACAGAAGTAGAGAACAGACTTGTGGACACAGCGGGGGAAGATGGGAGTGGGACGAATTGGGAGATGGGGATTGACATATATACAATACCATGTGTCAAACAGATAGCTAGTGGGAGCCTGTTATAAAGCACAGGAAGCTCAGCTTGGTGTTCTGTGATGACCCAGATGGGTGGGATGGAGAGTGGGAGGGAGGGAGGTCCAGGAGGGAGGGGGTATGTGTATACATGTAGTAGGTTCGCTTTGTTATACAGCAGAAACTAACACAACATTGTAAGGCAATCACACTCCAAAAAAAAAAAAAAGCAGAATAAATAACTAAGGACCACAAGTGCTGCTTGGGAGAAGGGCTTCCAACCTTTGCTTGATCCTGAGCTTTTGGGGCCTTGGAGGGGGAGCCAGAGTGGGAATTTTAGGAACCAGACTGTCACATGCTCTGAGTGTCCAGAGGGTGGTCTGCGGCCTACCTCTGTGATGAAAGGTCTTAAGAGCTAGGAGTAGGCGAACACCTACTATATGCATCTACTGCTTTTAATGCATCATCTTCCCTCCATCTCCCTACACTCTATGGCATTAATATTATTGCCCTCTGATGACCCATGAGACAACTGAGACTTGAATGGGCCCGGTTACTGACCCGAGGTCACATAGATACTCAACTGTTGCCCTGGGATTCGAGTCCAGGTCTGTTGCATTGCAAACATGGTGTTTTCTCTCCTACCCAGTGCTTCCTCGCTGGTGCCCCTGGACATGAACTCATGGACACGCAAAGTGACTGCTTGCCCCCAGCCTCCCATCCAGGAAAAAATCCTCAACTCACGCCTCGTCCAGAAAAAGCATGGGGGGATAGATGTCCGAGTCAAATTGGTCCTTGTGGTGGATCAGAGGGAGAGAAATGAGATCCTCTGACTCTTCTAGGCAGGACAACTCAAGGAATGTGTCCATTTTACAGATGGAGAAGCTAAGGTTTCAAAAAGGGAGGTGACTTGCTTACGATCTCATAGAATGTTGAAGAGCTTTTCTAGTGCAAGAGGGAGCACTGTACTCTGGAAGCAGGCTGTGTGAGTGTGTGTGTGTGTGCAGGGGTGTGTAAGAGTAGTGGAAGCATCCTGTCTCCTGCCCTCATGTGGGGGGAACCCTAAGAAGGAGATGTAGACCTGGCCCTCGGTGAAATTCTGGGCACATTTTCGCAGAGGCGAAGCCTCCCCTGAGGCTTGACGGAGGAGGTGGGAGGTGGGGAGGGGCCTTCATGGGGGCTGCAAGGCATCTGAGGGAACAACCCCCCTGTGTCCAGGAGAGCACCCTCCACGGGGGGAAACCTCCCCTCGCCCTTCCTCCTAAGGGACGGCCCCACCCCCAGGCTCTGCATCACCCTCCCTGGCTGGGACACCATCCATTGTCTTTTCTGAGTGTCAAGATCCTTGGCTCTGCCAAGCCACGCTCAGAAAACGCTATTGATTTTCCTTTATTTATTTATTTATGAAATTTTTGCTGTGGGCAAAAAATAAAAAGGTTTGTTCAGCGTTTCCCCCGAGCAGGGACAAGTTTTCTCCACCCACTACCCCCTCGCACACACTCAATAGACTCCTCTCATCTCTCTGCCTGGGGGAGGGGCGGGCACTCGAATTGCTCATTGTTTGCAGGAGGCATGGGAGAAGCAGAGTGTCCACGGGGCTGAGTGTCCTGGTACGCGGTGCCCTGCACACAGTAGATGTTCAAGTAACAGGTGTGGGAGAGATGGGTGGAGGAATTGTTGAGTGAGCCTTGGCTGATGCCCACAGGGTTGGGGGGAAGGATGCAGAGGATATCCCATTCCTCTGTGAGAATACCTACTGCGTGCCAGGCCCAGTGTTGGGCAATTTGGACCTTTCTCATCTAGTTTTCGGGCTCCCCAGGTGGCTCAGTGGGTAAAGAATCCACCTGCAATGCAAGAGACGCAGGAGACTCAGGTTCAATCCCTGGGTTGGGACAATCCCCTGGAAGGGGGAATGGCGACCCACTCCAGTATTCTTGCCTGGAGAAATCCCATGGACAGAGCACCCTGGCAGGCTACAGTCCATAGCGTTGCAGAGGGGGACACAACTGAATCTACTGAGCACACACGCACATCTAGTTTTCACAACGGATGTGCAAGGTGGGTTTTATTACCTTTGTTCCATGGTGACATTCAGAGAGGTTGAAGGTTATCCAGCCTGTGAACCTGAATTCACATTCAGGTTTCCGGAGACCAGCGCCCCAGCTCTTACCACTGTGTGGTGGTTGCAGCCTCCTGCCCAGAGGGAACCAAGAAAATGTACGTAAAAGACTTCCAGGTGGGACTTCCCTGGCGGTCCAGTGGCTAAGACTCCGTGCACTCAATGCAGGAGGCCCAGGTTCGATCCCTGGTCAGGGAACTAGATCCCACATTCTGCAACTAAAGATCCCACATGTGGCAACTAAGACCTGGTGCAGCCAAATAAACAAATATTAAAAAATAAATAAAGACTGCGAGGAGCGACTTGTCCTTCTCGTAACTCTGGCAGATTTCAGGAAGTCCCCATAGAGTGGATCAGCTCAGAGCAATCAAGGCCTGCCCTTGTCCACCCCTGCCATCCTGAAAAGAGGCTGTGTGGGAAACTGTCATCCACCCTGCCCACCACCCCAAAGCAGGACTGCAGAAACAGGGGTCAGGTCATCTCTTTCCAGGGAGGGCTGGCAGGAATTCCATGGTCTGTTGGTTAAAGATGCTGAGCACCTCACTAAGCTGCCCTTGGGTGGGCTTCTCTGTGCCATTCTCACCCCCGCACACGTGCGTTCATGTGATTCCCTGACCTGGAGTGCCGTTCCCTCCCCAGCACTCCTGATGTCTCCAAGATCTCAGCTCCAGTCCCCCCACTGGAGTTACCCCTCCTAGAAGCACCATTTGCACTCTGGTGTTAACTATGGCTTGTCACTGGCTGGCAGTGAGCTGCTGGAGGGCAGAGTCCCATCTTGTTGAGCTGTCTCCCCAGGTTTGGGCTCAGTGCCTGGCCCTGGAAGGACGCACAGACACCCATGTTGATCCCAAGCAGCTGGCAGGACATCCGCAGAGATTGCCCCAGTGCCTGAGCAGTGGGGGCTTGGCCCCTGCTTTCACCATTCATTGGAGACACATCTCTTTCTCCTCCCCGGCAGGAGTTCCCCTTGGCCATCCTCCGAGGCTGGGAGTGCTACTGTGCTTACTCTACCCCCCAGTTCAACCTGCGGGATGCCGTGGACAGATCGCTGTGTGGCCAGGAATCTGAGGCCCAGAGGCTGGCGGAGTACTGCGAGGTCTACCAGACCCCTGTGCAGGGTGAGTTCCACCCCAGAGGTGAACTGGCATGCAGGGCTTTCCTTCTGTACTTGGTCTGGGAGTTTGGACTGAGTATATGGTCCTGGGATGGGGAAGGCATCTTGGTGGGTGGTCCTATCTTGGGTAATGTGAACAGAGAGGCCTCCTCCATCCCTGGAGGCTGGACAGAGGATGCAGGGATTGGTGAGAAGAGCACCTGACTTTTATCTGAATCTGGGGATGAAGGTGGTTTGAGGAAGAGCAGAGAGGCAGGGTCCAGAGGGATAACATGGCAAGGTGGTGGGGCTGGGTGACATGGGAGCCCAGTGGCAGCTGGGACATCCCTGAGCCAGCCTGTACCTGGGGACCAGTGAGTCACCTGGGCTGTGCCCAGACCCCAGCATCTTCCTTGTCTGAGAAGCAGGTCTGCCCCAGCTGACCTTAGGGGCTGATAAGAAGAAGAGCAGCTGGGGAAGGTCACTGTCACCTTTATCAAACACCTACGGTGACTTGGCACAGCCCTGGGGTCTTAGGAGACGTTCACCAGAGGGTTCCATGTGCCCTGACACAGCGCTAGGGGGCCTCCCAGAAAGAGGGGGCATAGAGAGTAACACCGGAAGTTCTGAATCCTGATTCCTTGCTGCTCTACCTGGTGTGAGACATTGTTCTGCCCGGCCACGACCCCCAACCCACCTCCCCTGCAGAGTCTGGAATTATCTGAGCTGGGCCAGGAGGGTTCGGCTGTTACCTCTTGAAAGACAAGGTGGGGCACCCACAGGGCACTGATCCCCACTAGACTCGTCCAGTGGGAGGTCTCGTCATCACTGGGGCTCTCTCTGGCCAGCCACAGACCCGTGCAGCCAAGCCAGGTGGCACATCCCTTCCCCTCTTTGAGCCTTAGTTTTCCCATTCCATTAAATGGGAGGCTTGGGTCTGCACTTCCTGCCAAGAGGAGTCAGGCAGTGTGTCTGGGGGTCACAGTGGAAATGGGGAACCCTGAGATGACTTCTGGACTTTCAGACACTCGATGCACAGACCGGAGGTTCCTGCCCACCAAATCCAAGGTGTTTGTGGCTCTGTCGAGCTTCCCCGGAGCTGGGAACACGTGGGCGCGGCACCTCATCGAGCATGCCACCGGCTTCTATACAGGCAGCTACTACTTCGACGGAACTCTCTACAACAAAGGTGAGCGAGGGCTGCCCCGGGGGGAGGAGGTAGCTCTCAGGCCCAGACCCCAGCCTCTGCAGCCCAGGCCCTTCTGGAGCACCAGAGCTGTGCTTCTTACTCTTGAACGTGTCAGCATCAGCTTGTGTGTGCATGCTCAGTCGTTAAGTCACATCGGACTCTTTGCGACCCCAGGGACTGTTGCCCGCCAGGCTCCTCTGTCCATGGAATTTTCCAGGCAAGAATACTGGAGTGGGTAGCCATTTCCTCCTCCAGGGTATCTTCCCAACCCAGGGATCGAACTGGTGTCTCCTGTATCTCCTCATTGGCAGGCAGATTCTGTACCACTGAGCCACCTGGGAAGCCCTAAGCAATACCTTGAGGGCTTATTATTTCAACATAGATTCCTGGTTTGTACCCATCCCGCCACCAAGAGAGTATGACTCGATTAGTCTGAGATGGGGCCTAGGAACTGGCATTTCTAACAAGCTCCTGTGTGATGCTGAAGCAGTCAGCTCTAGGACCACACTTTGAGAGGAAATTCACAAGATCTGATCTGGATTCAAAGGGAAAGCCTAGTCACTTAGATTCCCTCTCAATAAACAGTTTTTAAATTTTCCTTAATTTTTACAACCCTCAATAATTAGGGGAAACTGACTTCATCTGTTCATTCCCCCTCCCTCCCGAGGTAAATGTAGCTTATCAAAATACTGTTTCTTAAAACTAGGTCCAAAAATCTTCAAGAGTTTAATGATTTCTAATATTTCTCTTGTAGAAATAAGAGGCCTCATTATGTCAAGTAAATGAACTTTAAAACGGCTCAAATCTGTGCGCTGTTTAAGACTAAGAACCTCAGATAAGCCAAGTGGGATACATATTTGGTGAAATAGATTTCTCTGTTGTCAGGTGTTACAACAGTTTCTCAGGGATTCTTAGCTCAGAGTTTGGCTTAGGGAAAGAGGATCCTATCAGTAACATCCTGGAGAAAATAGAAAGTTCCTAAGGTTCTGTGATTACCCACAGCAGTCTTGATCTGGTTGGTAAAAAAGCCACGGGTGTCCATATAACCCAATCTCATCATAGTTGGGAGTCTTTTTAAAAACTATTTCTGAAACCATGTTTATTTATTAGTATTATGTAGCACAAACCTTGATGGTTGGTTTTCTTTTTATGTGTTTATTTATTTGTTTGTTTTTGGTCATACCGGGTCTTTGTTGCTGAACTTTTCTCTAGTGGTGAGCAGGGGTTACTCTCTAGTTGCGGTGAAAGGACTTCTCATTGCTGTGGCTTCTCCTGTTGCAGGGCACAGGCTCTGGGGCACTCAGGCTCAGTGGTTGTGGCTCATGGGCTTAGTTGCTCTGCGGCATTTGGAATCTTCCCGAACTGGAGATCAAACCTGCGTCTCCTGCATCGGCAGGCGAATTCTTTACCACTGAGCCACCAGGGAAGCTCATCCTTGGGAGCCAGGAGTGTTACAGCACCTATAGGCAAAGTAACCAGATGAAGACTGTGGTCCTGCTCACTCTGGTCTAGTCCCCTGGGAACCACCTACTGTGTACAGGCCACAGCTGCCCACCATATTCATCTAGGAGGCCTTTACCTTATTCAAACAGCTGGCTGTCTTGGTCAACACATGGCTAAGTGACCCAGTGGCTCAACAGCCAGGTATTAAGGGTTGCAGTGACACTGTCTTTTAATGGCTCTAGAGATACCTGGATGCATCTTTGAGCCTTACGGGACTGGTTAGGTATAGGCACAGATCACAGAGCACTGTCAGAGCAATGAACACACACATGCATGTGCACACACACATGCACACATGAAATTCTCAAGGCAACTCCAGTGCCCAAACACCAAACCTGTTATGGGTGAGCCTGGTCTGAGTTATAAGGAAAAGTGGTCACTGCTGAATTAGGCTGAGACAGTACAAAAGACACCCTGGCTCTCAGGGTGTCAAAGCCCGTATCGCATGCTTCCTCGGCCCATGCACTGACTCATTCTTTTCTGGAACTTCCCAGCTGTTTGACAGAATTAATCAAATCAAAGACTTTTGGTGTTTGGCCCATGGCAGAGATGAGTTTGAAAACATATGTTGAGTTTCAGCTGGTGACCCCAGACTTCCAGATTCAAAAGAGACTTGCATTTTCCAGGCATCAAAGACTCCCTCGCTGCTGGCTGTAGATATAGATGCTTCCCAGCCACTCGTGGGGGTGGGGGTGGGACTCCTTTATGTTTCCAAGAGCTGAAGGCCAACTCATGTACATTTAATGAGCGTGTCCCCATAGCTGATGGCATGGTCTATGTTGGGATGTGGCCAGGAGATTAGCTTCAAGGGACATCTTTGCAGGAAGTCTTCTATTACCTCCCACCACACTTCCAAACTGGTCCCCCTACTCTTTGTCCCCATAAGCCCCTATCCTCTGTATTACATACACTTGGGCTGTCCCCCAAATGGCTGTTGTTGTTATTTTTTCTCTAAGTTGTGTCCAACTCTTTACAACCCCATGGACTATAGTCTGCCAGGCTCTGCGGTCCATGGGATTCTCCAGGCAAGAATACTGGAGCAGGTTGCCTTTTCCTTCTCTGGGGGATCTTCCCATCCCAGGGGTCAAACCCAAGTCTCCTGCATTGGAGGTAGATTCTTTACCACTGAACCACCTGCCCTCCCCACAATAGACTATAAGCTTAAAGACAGACTCTGAGTCTTACCCCTTTTATCCATGACATGAAGTTCAGCACGGCATGGGCACACGATGATCTTTGTTGATAAATGCATGATGCTGCATAGGGCTGGGGAGAGTCTCCATGGATGCAAGACTGGAGCTCAGTTACAGGACATAAGGTCAGAGGGTGGGGCTACAGCTGCTGACCACCCTTGAGCCTGTTGATGGGGATCCCGCCCACTCCATGGGAAGGTGGGTAGATGGCAAAGGCCTCCCAGGGACACACAAAGCCACATGGAGAGAGCCCTGGCTCTGATACTGTGGTGCTGTGTGATCTTGAGCAAGACACATACCCACTCTGAGCCTGCAGCTCTGGTTCATTCACCCAGCTCTTTGCAATGCTCATGTGAAATAGCCATGAAGGTGCCCAAATGGATGCATTGTCAGGCCTCTGCCTCCTGACTTCTGGGACCCACAGGAGGTGCCTGATCTGCTTTCTCTTGCACATGCCATCTTTCCCCACTTAGATGCCTTCCTCTCTCACTGTCCCTCGGGCAGGGTCAGGCCCTGTGGTTAGAAGCCGCACCAGTGGCCCCTCAGTGCCCACCAGTGTTGGCTCTCCCTGGGGGCACAGGTTAGCGTTCATACCTGTCTGCCGCTGTGGCAGTGGGGTCTCCATGATGCCTTTCTTACGGGCAGGGTTCAAGGGTGAGAAGGACCACTGGCGCAGCCGGCGTACCATCTGCGTGAAGACCCATGAGAGTGGCAGGAGGGAGATTGAGATGTTCGACTCGGCCATCCTGCTCATCCGGAACCCGTACAGGTCCCTGGTGGCCGAGTTCAACAGGAAATGCGCCGGGCACCTGGGCTATGCAGCTGACCGCAACTGGAAGAGCAAAGGTGAGCCAAAGGGGCTGGCAGGGCAGGGGACGGGCTGCCTCTTTATACCTGGAGTCATCTGCTGACACATACTAACCAAAGTCCTACTGTGTGCCAGGTGCTGGGTGAGGCACCAGGGGTTGGCTAAAGGGATCACAATTGCCACCCGCAAGGTGGGCACACAGTCTAACCTTTGGGTAATGGATAGAGAGACACAAGTCAGGGCGATGAGTGATACATACAAAATGAAGCTGTCAGAAATACAGCTGTGTCCAGCAGAGTGGGTGGCGTGATGAGACACGAGGCCGGGCAGGCTCCTGCTTCTATCCCTGTGTGATCAGCTGAGGCTGGTGGGTGTTCTCCCCATTCCCTCCCCTTAGGCCACTCCCCTCCCCAGCCATCCCTGCCTCCCACTGACTCCCCTTGAGCCAGCGGGCAGGCTGAACTCTGATCCCTCCTGGGCCTCTTACCAGCCCAGTGACCCCAGGCAAGATGCAGACCTTGTCTTCTGAGCCTTGCTTTTCTCACCGTAAAACCCTATGACCCCCACCTCTTAGGGTCGTTAAGATCAGAGAAAGCAAATGCTTCCCACAGCATTGGAGAGCGGTGCTAGTGATAAAGAATCCACCTGCCAATGCAGGAGACGCAAGAGACGAGGGTTCGATCCCTGGGTCGGCAAGATCCCCTGGAGGAGGAAATGGTAACCCACTCCAGTATTCTTGCCTGGAAAATTCCATGGACAGAGGAGCCTAGTGGGCTTCAGTCCACGGGGTCACAAGGGTCAAATACGGCCGAGTGCCTGAGCACAGCACAATAACCCAGTTATGGAAGCTTATTTTGTTGGTGGTGATTCTTGATATTGGCACCCTCCTCTCCACTGAGGTGAGGCACTGACTTTGTAAATTTTTGCTGGAAAAAAAAAATCTCATGGACCAGATCATCTGTCCAAGATTGCAGCTGTCCCAACCCTTGCCTCGTTGTACATCACTGGTTAAACCAGTGACCATACCCATGTGTCAATAAGCATCAATTAGGCACCCCATTCATGAAGCTGCACAGGAGCACCTGGGACAGGAAAACCCAGCCTGCACAGCATCTTTAAGTCCTTGAGAGGCCCAGCATCTGCCCCCCACACACTGCTCGGCCCCCCATCACCCAGAGTGGATGATGTGCACAGTTGCCAAGGCAACATCAAGGTGAACTGAGAGTCATCTCAATAGAGATGCCCAGGCTTGCTTGTCTAACTCTGCTGTGTCCCATAGGCCTGAGATCCTGGGCTCTTCCTGCCCAGGGATGGTCCCAGAGGTCAAGGTCCATCAGAGGGAGAACCAGTTCTTGCAACACTCAGACCCCATGTGTCTTGGTGTGTTTCCATGGAAACTGCTAGGGGAAGGTGGACCCAATGTCACATCTCCCAGGCAGGCTTGGGGCTCTTCAGAGCCCAGCCTCATAATAACTGTCCCCCTCACGAGGTCACTCCTAACGAGATCCTTCCCTGGTGGGGGGATCCAGGCAGGTTGGTCCCAGGCAGAGGGGGATGGAGCATCCTGGCCCCCAGGAGGGGAGGCCCCAGGCCTGCCAGGCCGGACTGTGACACGGCGCCCCTTCTTTTCCCCCGCAGAGTGGCCGGACTTTGTCAACAGCTACGCGTCGTGGTGGTCCTCGCACGTGCTGGACTGGCTGAAATATGGCAAACGACTGCTGGTGGTTCACTACGAGGAGCTGAGGCGCAGCCTGGTGCCCACGCTGCGGGAGATGGTGGCCTTCCTCAACGTGTCCGTGAGCGAGGAGCGCCTGCTCTGCGTGGAGAACAACAAGGAAGGCAGCTTCCGGCGGCGCGGCCGGCGCCCGCACGACCCCGAGCCCTTCACCCCCGAGATGAAGGACTTGATCAACGGCTACATCCGGACGGTAGATCAGGCCCTGCGCGACCACAACTGGGCCGGGCTGCCCCGGGAGTACGTGCCCAGATGATAGGCTCCGGGCCCGCTCTGCCCGCCCCACCGGGAGCCGGCCGCCTCCACGGGGCCGCGCACGTGCTCGCTGGGATGCTCGCCTGCCGCTGCCTCCGCGGGATGCTCAGGGGAGGGGGCTGTGCCATCTGCACGGAGGCCCGCCCTGGGGCTGCGTCCCTGCGGCACAGGGACACCTGGGCCTAACTCCTGGCCGGTAGACCCGATGTCACAGGACAGATGCAAAGGGACACACACTCCTCGCCAGACCCGCTTAGACCTGCCCCTCTCCGCTCACGGTGTCCCGTTAATGCGTCTAAGCCACCACCCTGGGCGTGGCTGACACTCTTTGACTTGCAAACACAAACGTCAGTGCAGGCATGCCAACACCAGGTTATGTGTTCCCAGGGGCTGCCTGTCTGTCTCTCCAACACACTGACACACACGTGCACCCCGAGTTCCCAGGGACCCGGGGTTTCCTGTTGCCAGCCTGGTGCAGGCTTGCTGGCCAGGGGCTTTGACTGCAGGATGCTGGGCTGGGTGGGCTTAGAGCCCCAAGGAGCCAGAACCCTGGCCTGGAGACAGGCTCACAGTCTATGGCCGCCAGGCCAGGCAGCCCTGAGCCACACGTCTGCATCCCCCAGTGTGTGTGGTGTGATGACCAGCTCTGTAGCCCGGCCTCTCCCTTCTCTGTGGATGGGCTGGTGGTGATACAGGCAGAGCTGAGCCGCCCACAGACACCCCCACCTCAGGACCGGCTGCAAATTCTGTGCACCCCCCCACCATCCCATCCAATATCAGCACTCCTTGAACTGGTGCCTCCTTGCCTGGCTTCTTTCTCCGACTCTCCCCATAAAGCTGGGGACTCACGCCTTATCCCAGAAACAGGGTGTAGGGGCGAGGAGAGGGGGGTTGGGTGGGAGGGGGCTGGGACTCCAGGATAGGGCCTATATGCCAGAAGTGCCAGTGGAGGGGGCGCTTGGGCTGGGCAGACCCAGGAGAGATGAGTCTTGGGGGCCACTGGGCTGGTTGCTCCACCCATCTTGACAGCTCTGTGCGGGATCACCCCACTCTTGGTCATGAGGAAGTGGGGGGCGGCATGGCCCATCAAGACCCTGGGGGGAGAGGCAAGTCTGCAGCTTCTGCCTGACCCCCTATCTGCCAGCCCTCTTTGTCCCTCTGTTATTCACCCTCCACTTCCTGTCACTGGGTCTCTTTGTCACAGCCTCTGTCTCCGTTTTCGTGACACTGACATCTTTCCCATTCGGGGATACGGGAAACTGGAGCTACTGGGCACTGCTGTGTATGAGCTTACAGGCCTCCTGAGAAGACAGTCTCCTCACAGCTCAGGGTTTAGAGGGGCTGGGGGAGGGGAGTGATAAACCCAGCAAGAGAGGAGTGTGTGTGCTAAGTGTGGGGGTCAGAGAATGCATTGCAGTGGCTTTGAACTGGTCCTGAGGAATCTGTAGAAATTATTCCAGTGGAGCCAAGGGGAAGGGGAATTGGAGCAGAGGGAACAGCATGTACAAAGGCTCAGAGGCTTGGAAAGACCCTTGGGTGTTTTGAGAACAGGTGAGTGGGTATGGGCACGTGCCTCTAAGTCTGTGCAAGAGGAAGGTGGGAGTGGGTGGGTGAGAACGGAGGAGGGGACAGAGAAAAGGATTCTCCTTACAGCCAGCTAGTGCTCAGTGTGGGAGGGGGAGGGTGCTGATGCTAATTACCTTCTTGGGTCACCCTGTGTTACATGTCCTGGGCTCAGAAATGGGGCTGCAGAGATCAGGGGACTGAAGTCTAGAGGGTGAGGTGAAGCTGGGAGCACAGCCAGGACAAGTGGGACCCAGGGAGGGCTGTCGAGAGCTCGGCCACACACTGAGGGAGAAAGGTGGATGGGCTTGAACTTGGGCCGCCCCTGAGTCCCTCTGCAGCTTCTCCAGGCCTGGGCTGGGCCTGCTGGTCTGACCTCTGCATCAGCAGGAGAAAGCTGGGTGAGGGGGTTGGGAAAGCCAGGAGTGGGAATATGGGACCATCTGCTCCCTGGCTGGAGATGGGGAACTGACATCACCCCAGTGGGGGCAGGCAGAGCTGAGGGCCCTGCAGGAGAGGGCCTTCCTCAGAGGGAAGCCTCCCTAGCTTTCAATTTTTAATGAATGGCCTTGAGCATCCATTCCTGGTGGCCTCCAAGTTCTTTTTGAGTCTCCCCCAAACCCACACTGATGCTGAGGCCATTTTAGATCCTCCTAAAGCATTGCTGGGGCTCAGCTCAAGGCTGAAAACTCCAGGGTCTTGATAAGCAATTATTGAAACAGCATGGCTCGAGGATCAAGTATGTGATGAGCCCTGATGAGGCTGATTCTCCTGAGTAGAAGGAGCAGTTGAAATCCACCAGGCGTTTTCACCCTGCCTTGGAAGGGGGCCCAGGGAATACCTGCATCCCAGAGTGAACCTAGAAACTCAAAGGAGACTACAGCCCTGAGTGATGGAGGAGAGGGAAGCCAATCCAGAGACTGGCTCCCTGGCAGCGACCCTCACTCTCCTGGCCACCCAGACAGTCTCTGGGGAGAAGACTCAAATGTTAAGGAGTCTGCACAGGGCAGTGAAGTGGCTGGAGGACCGACTAGGACCACAGCCAGGGAATGGCCCTCTGGGCTTCCCCCGCCACCCCAGGGCTCAGGAGAACAGCAGTCCCAGCCCGTTCTTCCTGGTAGATGATGAGTCTGTTCCCTGTTGCCACGTACCCAGAGACCCTCGCTCCTTCCAGCTGGAGAGCCACTTGCTCAGATGGCCTTGGAGTTTACTGTGCACCTTAGCCAGGCATGCAGATAAGTGGAATGATGGGATCGGGGTGCATCGTGTTGAGTCAGTCCACCTGGCAAGACACCTGAACCTCGGCACCTGATCCTGAACGGTGGGTGAGTAAGATGTCAAGGCCCCATGTGCTGATGGTTCTCAGCAGTCATCCCCCAGCTCCTGAGGAGCACAGGAAGGGGATGTGTCTGTTCTTTTGGGAAAGTGTTTGTCCTTCTCCAAGTTAGGTCTCATCTCTAGCTCTCAGCTTCTCCATAAAGAGGATGCTGTCCCAGCCAGCCAAGGAGTAAAACAGGCTTGAATTTAGGAGAGAAGCATGGCAGATGTAGCTAATCAGACCAGAACAGAGAACTCCTGTTTACAGATTCCAATTTTAATAGCCAGGCTGTGGAGTTGCACAAACCTGTGCTAAAACATGTAATTTTCATGGATTTCATCTCCTGTTGTGGATCAATTTGGAAAAATCAAAATATATAATTTGAAAAAACTAAAACTCATTCTTGATAATCCCAGTGATGTGTTAATGAGAGAGAAGAATAGACAGGCTTCCAAACCCTGGGAAGAAAACTGCTTAATTATGTGAGCGTCTTATAATGAAGTCTCGTGCAGCTAAAATTAGATTTGGAGTGCATGAATATGCGAGAATGTTTGCACACCAGAATGCATTTTTTCCCCTTAAAAGTAACAGGAGCCACTTGGTTCTTAGGGTGCCCCAAGATGGGAGATAGAAGTGCTGAGGTTGATCTTTGTGGCTGCAAGAATTCCTGGGACTCAGGTTTGTTTTCTTTTGACTGGAATGTTGGAGGTGTTTAAAATGTGATGCTTCCAAAGTAGTTCATTAAGGTTTCCGGAGAAATTGATTGGTCTGAATCCATATTGATGAGCACTCAATATTTCCTGAGTTGGCCTGAATAAGGTTGAATTAGAGTAGAGTGGAAATAGGATCAAGTCTGCAGATTAAAGGGGTGGGTCATGGTCCCAGTTCTTCTCTGCTGTGATCTTAGAACAAGCCTTTTCTCTCTCTGGTCTCAGTTCCCCATCTGTAAAATGAGAGATGAGTTGGAGGCTGTTGGTTGCATCCCTGATGTTCATTTCCCCATTTCCTTTCCCAGCAGCCCCTGATATTTCTTGGCAGGGGCAGGTTATGCTCTGCTAGAGCTGTCTCTGTCATCATTTCTGGGGTGGGATGCATGACCTGGACTAAGCCCACACCTCATCCCATCTCCCTGGCTATAGTGATGGTCATGTTTCCTAAGGCAATGGAGCCAGAGGGAATTTCAAGACTTTTTCTGGAAATGTTGAGTAAAGGCTGTTTTTATTCACCTTGCTAGATGTGAACAAAGAAGTAGGTAACCTTGGGTCTTGACAGTGGCTGTCTTGGGAATCCTGGAGGGGACCCCTCCCAGCATGAAGCTGACAACTGAAGGGAGAGTCAGGAGGCAGAAAGAAACCAGGCCCTTGGTGATGCTGTTAAGTATAGGATCTATCTTTGCCTGTGACTGGCCCTGCCTGTGGATGGTTTTGTTACACAAGCCAATAAATTCCCTTTATTGTTTATGTTGGGTTGAGTTTGGTTTCTGTTGCTTACAGCCCAGAGGGTTTTTACAAAGGGCTTGGATTGAGAGACCCTGGGATTCTGATATTCTCTATCTCTGTGGCAGAACTAGATGAAGACAGAGACATGAACAACAATGAGCTGTTGGATTAAGAAGTTGCTTTTTACAGGAATGGGGGTGGATGCGAGATCTTCAGTAGGAAGCTGTGCTCTGTCAGCCAGGACAAGCAGCATTTTTAAGTTGGAACATAATGAGGTCGCCTGGGTTTCCTTAGAAAAATCAATCCTCTTGATTGACCAACCCAAACCATAAATTGTCTCATTCAATCCCTACCAAATTTAGTTTCTGAGACGGAGTTGCCCAAAGTTCAAATCCTTTATTTTACAGGTAAGAAAAGTGAGATTGGGAACGGGGGTGGGTTTCCTATGAAGCTCTGAGAATGAGGTGTGGGGGTGGCTGGGGCTAGAATATGAGCCCCTTCCCCGAAACTACCTGATGGCCCCCGTACTGCATCCCTACAGCTCTTCCAGAAGCTTCTAGAATTGAGGCAATTGTGTGCATTCAGCTTGTTTGGAAGTGACCCCATTCATTTCACTGCTAATTCTTTGCCAAGATATTTTTGGTGGGCACCTGGGTTCAACGTTAAGGGCCATTTATCAAGCATCCCCAGGACTTGAAAACTTCCTTAGAGGGAGGAGGGCTTTTCAAAAGACTGAGGTTAGGGACGGGGGCCATAATTGCCCCTTGGAAGGAAAGCTATGACAAACCTAGATGGCATATTAAAGAGCAGAGTCTTACTTTGCTGACAAAGGTCTGTATAGTCAAAGCTATGGGGCTTCCCTGGTGGCTCAGCTGGTAAAGAATCTGCCTGCAATGCAGAAGACCTGGCTTCAATCCCTGGGTTGGGACGATCCCCTGGAGAAGGGAAAGGCTACCCACTCTAGTATTCTGGCCTGGAGAATCCCACGGACTGTATAGTCCATGGGGTCTCAAAGAGTCGGACATGACTGAGCGACTTTCACTTCATTTCATGGTTTTTCCAGTAGTCACGTACAGATAGGAGAGCTGGACCATAAAGAAGTCTGAGTGTCAAAGAATTAATGCTTTTGAACTGTGGTGCTGGAGAAGACTCTTGAGAGTCCCTTGGACTGCAAAGAGGTCAAACCAGTTATTCCTAAAGGAAATCAACCCTGAATATTCATTGGAAGGGCCGATGCTGAAGCTGAAGCTCCAGTACTTTGGCCACCTGATGGGAAGAGCTGACTCATTGGGAAAGACCCTGATGCTGGGAAAGATTGAAGGCAGGAGGAGAAGGGGGTGGCAGAGGATGAGGTGGTTAGATAGCATCACTGACTCAATGGATGTGAATTTAAGCAAACTACGGGAAATAGTGAAGGACAGGGAAGCCTGGCGTGTTGCCGTCCATGGGGTTGTAGAGTTGGACATGATTTAGTGGCTGAACAGTCAATCAAATCAGGAGCTCACAGTTTTCATTCCTAAGTCATAAGCATTCCAGGCAACAGAAAGGCCCTGCTCCTCCAAAGTATTATTAGATAAGCATCTTTGGTGGATCTGAGCCCAGCAGTCTGTGTGTGTTTATGTGTACATGCAGGTGTGGGCTCCGGCTGCTGAAGACAGCTGTCCCTTTAAATCACACGCCAGCCATCCTGACCACTATAAGCGACAAGAGTCTGGATGTTGAAAAAGTCAGTCTTTGTCAGGTATCCTCCAGAATGGATAGTGTCCTAGGAGAAGTAAAATTCTCTTAACATAAAAATGATTTTTGTTTATTCCTTCTCTTCTTCCTCTTCTTTTTTTAAATTCAATAATCAATTCAATGGGCTTCCCTGGTGGATCAGACTGTAAAGAATCTGCCTGCAATGCAGGAGACCCAGGTTTGATCCCTGGATGGGGAAGATCCCCTGGAGAAGGAAATGACTATCCACTCCAGTATCCTTGCCTGGAGAATCCCAGGATAGAGGAGCCTGGTGGGTTATAGTCCATGGGGTTTCAAAGAGTTGGGCATGACTGAGTGACTAACACAGCAACAATCAATTCAACAACACTTTTCATTCACTTGAAAAGCTATATTTACTTATTTGTTTCACTGGCTTTGAAAGCAGTGGAGACAGGAACAGTGCTGTATTTTTTTCTACGTATTTTACTTACTTATTTGGCTGTGCTGGGTCTTAGTTGCGGCACATGGGTTCTTTGATCTTCCTTGCAGCAGCCAGGATCCTTAGTTTCAGCTTGCGAACTCTTAGCTGTGGCACGCCAGATCTAGTTCTCTGACCAGAGATCGAACCCAGGCCCCTGAATTGGGAGCAACAAGTCTTAGACACTGGACCACCAGGGAAGTTCCAGCAGGCATCACTTCTTGATACCAAGGAGAACTGTCCTAGTTCCCCCATTCAGCCTGGCAGGGAGAATGGAGAACTGTCCTGGTTCCCCCCATTCAGCCTGGCAGGGAACCAGCAAGGCAGGAAAATTCTGGCCCTGGCCGGACATCCTAACAGGATGGTCCACTCCCAGGGGTTACCACTGAAACCAGCTCTTAGCATAATCCATTATTTCCTGTTATACTCAGGCTTCCCCTGTTCCATAGCCACATTAACCTCCATCAGATAATTAAGGGTTTGGCTTTCCATGAGAGACCTTAAATGTCACCTCTCTGCTACCCGATACGTCTTTGAATGACACAGGCTTTAATGAGATGTTCAAATATAGAAAACTGAGTGACTCCTTGCTTTGGTCGTGACATTTATTCAGACAGAGTGATCTGACTACACCACTACATTACTTATAATTTCTACCTGACCTTGGGTGGTGGAGTGTAATCTTTAAGGAAACTATCCATTTAATCTCCTTCGCCTTATTAGCATTTAATTACTATGACAAATTTTCAGATGTACAAAAGATGTTAGGATTATAATTCAATTTTCCCTTCAAACGGCCCAGTAGCCAAGGACAGTGGGACCATCTCTGACACCAGTGAGTTCTGACTGAGGAAGCATCCTGGGCCTGACTTGGTCTCTGGCCCCTTGGAGCAGCAAACAGGGCTTATCCCAACCATCGCTGCCCCGTCCGGGGACCCTGTGCCCAAACCTTCTCTCTCTCTCTCTTTCTCATCACTGGACTGAGCTTTGTTTTGCTGCTCAGGGTAAGGCTAAGTCACGGGACCGGGAAGAGGACAGAAGATGCAAAGGATGTCAGCTCAGATCTGACGGCTGCGCTGGACAGTGGAGCCCATAAGTGAATTGTTTTTTAAACTTTTACTTATTTACTTATTTTATATTTGGCTGCACTGGGTCTTCGTTGCTTCTCGAGGGCTCTCTCTAGTGTCCGCCGGCAGGGGTTACTCTCTAGTTGCAGTGCATGGGCTTCGCATTGCTGGGGCCTCTCTTGTTGAGGAGCACAGGCTCTAGGCACACAGGCTTCAGCAGCTGCAGCTCTCGGGCTCAGCAGTTGTGGCACACGCTTAGCTGCTCCATGGCAGGTGGAATCTGCAATGCAGGAGACCCAGTTTCTATCCTTGGGTTGGGAAGCTCCCCTAGAGGAGGAAATGGCAACCCACTCCAGTATTCTTGCCTGGAAAATTCCATGGACAGAGGAGCCTGGTGGGCTACTGTCCATGGGATTGTAAAGAGCTGGACTGAACAACTTTCAATTTCACGTTAGGAATATTTTCCCATTTTGCTATAGTCTTCTTAAAGATCTTCCCCCTCCCCCAATTTCCTTTCTTTTCTAACTTTCCTGTCCTTTCCTCAATAGAGTCCCAATGGTGACAGCCTGGTATAATCCATTCATACTGCTCTCTATAGTCTTATGAATATGTAAAACCATGTGTGTGTGAGTGTGACTATATCTATATCCATGAATGATAGTGTATCAGTTAGTGGAAGATAAAAAGGCACAACAATCTGCATTGTACAATCACACTTTTGCAAAATCATGTGATGGTCCCCAATATTTGATTTCACTCTTTTAGGAAGGTAGCATGATATTCTCTAGTAACCTCCAAAACAGGGAGCCTGCACCCCACTGGCACAAAGAAAAAAATATTCAAAGTTCTATCTCTTTATTTTTAATCTCATCTCTTTAAAATTTTTATTTTGTATTTGCTTACCTACACTTAAGATATTCACACATGCAAATAAATATCCATGTTCTGGAAGTACATGCTATCATTAAATGAGCAATGAATAATACTTAGAGACCACCAGTCTACAGATTCAGGGACCGCTTGATTCACACAGTTCCCTTTTGATGAATATCTAGGCAGTTTCTAGCTAGGGCCACTACAAACTAGGCTGTAAAAAGCATCACTCTACATATGCATTTCTGCACGAGTGCTTTTAGATCTATAAATCAGATTCCTAAAAGTGAAACTGCTGATTCAAAGGGTATGTGTACTTACAATTTTTAAAAATTTTCTTTATTTTCAGCTGTGTTGGGTCTTTGTTGTGGTGCGTGGGCTTTCTCTAGTTGTAGTGAACAGGGTCTACTCTCCAGGTTTGGTACGTTGGTTTCTCATTGCAGTGGCTTCTCTTATTCCGGAGCACAGGCTCTAGGGCACAGGGGCTTCATAGCTGGGGTGCAGGGGCTTCGCTGCCCCAAGGCCTGTGGAATCTTCCCAGACCAGAGATGGAACCCATGTCCCCTGCATTGGCTGATGGATTCTTAACCACTGGACCACCAGGGAAGCCCTGTACTTACAATTTTAATCAAAACTGATGGCCTGCTCTCAAAAAAGTTTGTAACAATTCATATTCTCATTACCAATGTATACAATGTTTATCTCCCTGTATCTTTACAGGCTTTAGGAATTATCACTCTTTTCCAAGTTTACCAATCAAATGGATGGGCTGAGAAATGTCATCCAGTCTTTAAGGGCACCATCATGTCATGGACTTCCCTGGTGGCTCAGATGGTAAAGCGTCTGCCTACAATGCAGGACACCCGGGTTCAATCCCTGGGACAGGAAGATCTCCTAGAGAAAGAAATGGCAACCCACTTAGTATTCTTGCCTGGAAAATCCCATGGACGGAGAAGCCTGGTAGGCTGTAGTCCATGGGGTCACAGGGAGTCGGACACGACTGAGTGACTGCACTTTTCTTTCATGTCATGTACAGGTGAGGGCATTGGACAAGATGACCTCGAAGATCCTTCCACTTCGTGTCCGTGCTTTTCTAATGATCTGTTTTCAGAGCTCACCTGTTCCAGGTGTGCCTGGAGTCTCCACTCACTAGTCAGTTCTGAATCCCAGAGATGTCTATGGAACAGTTGCCAGAAACCAACAAACTGAAGATGGGAAAGAAAGCAAGCTGAATGCCATCCAGGGGATCATCTTGCCAGTACTGCTCAGCTTGTAAAAACCATCTTGGCCAAACCCCTGCGATTTCATCCAGAACAAATAATAAAAAGCAGTGTGCAATATTTCTAGGATGAGCATATTCATAGTAAATATTTTAAGATCAATGGCTGCACAAAATGCATTTTCCTTGGAGTTTCACTTTTCAAATGGCTTTGTATTAAAAGTGCAATTTCAATAAATATTCATGGGGAAATTCATTGATGTGTTTTACCATTTACAGCTAAAATTTGTAAGATTCTGGGGGGAAAAAAGATGTACGATGCGCATTTTACCCTCTTAGGAGAAAAGTGGTAAAAAATGCATGATACGCTTTTGTTTTTTCTGACAATAAACCCTCTGAGGCGGGGAGCTATCTTTGTACTCCTGATCCTCTCCAGCCAGTTCCGGGGCTGTTGGCAGTGTGGGCAGAGCGGAACTGTAAGAAGATCTGACAGAGGAAGATGTGGGAGGTGAGGAAGGCCTGTGTGCAGAGCCTTTTAAAGTCCCTAGAGCCCCTTTTATTTCATTCTTTTAATTAATTAATTCATCTCTGGCGTGCTGGGACTTTGTTGCTGCATCTGGGCTTTCTCTAGTTGCGGCGAGCAGGGGTACTCTAATTGCAGTGCTCGGGCTTCTCATTGCAGTGGCTTCTCTCGCTTCGGAACACAGGCTCCAGTTGTGGCACAGGGGCTTAGTTGCCCAGTGGCATGTGGGATCTTAGTTCCCAGACCTGGGGTCGAACCCATGTCCTCTGCATTGGCAGGCAGCTTCTCCACCAGTGGGACACCAGGGGAGTCCCAAATTCCCTTTTAACATCCCTTGTGGCTCAGTTGGTGAAGAATCCACCTGCAATGCGGGAGACATGGGTTTGATCCCTGGGTTGGGAAGATCCCCTGGAGAAAGGAAAGGCTTACCTACTCCAGTGTTCTGGCCTGGAGAATTCCAGGGACTGTATAGTCCATGGGGTTGCAAAGAGTCAGACACGACTGAGCGACTTAAAAAAAAATCATCCATATCACCTGCTCTAACATGAGCACTTACTGCTTATCTGGTGTTATGCTTAAAACTTCCTGTACCTTCTCCCACTGAGAAGGTACAGGAAGAAGTAGTCACTATGATTCCCATTTTACAGATGAGGAAACTGAGCCTCAGAAAGGTTAAGCAATTGGTTCTCATGGTCACCCAGCTAATTAAGTGGCAGAGTGAGGATTCAGACTTGGGTGCATCTGGCTCTAATGTGCTCTGTTACTGGTCCCTCCAGGCCTCAGCGTCCCATCTATAATTTCCCGATTGCCAGGAGTCGGCTGGGGCTGCAGGGATTGAAGGAAGTGAGCTGTTGTGCTAAATGCCTTCCTGTTTACCTCTCAGCCTCACAGTGCCTGCTAGGTGCAATTTGGCCACCTGCTCTGCACACGAGGCATCCCACGGCCCCCGTGACATCATTCTTCTTGGCCCCTTTGCCTGTGGCAGGAAGCTAACTCACATAGGCAAAGTACTGAAAAATCTGGCTGCTTATTCCTGCCAATTTCCTCAGAGTCTCGGGTGAATGTATTTATTTTTATAATGGCAGGTTGTACCCTTGGCAACAATCAGATCCTATTGTTCCCTTGCTTAAGGTGCTGGAAGCACTGCCCAAGGCCAATAGAATAAAACCCAAATGCCCCCTCCAGCCCCTTCCTTGGCTTGGTATTCAAAGCCATCTGTAATCTGGCCACATGACCATCCTCTTCCTTCTTGTCCTCTTCATGTGATGCTCAGCTACTATGGAGGGTTAGCTGTCCTTTGCCCAAGTTCATGGTCTTCTATTTCCCTGGAATGTCATTCTTTCCTATCTCTGACTATTAGCATCTTAAATACTGTTCAAGACCCATTTGAATGGACCTGCCTCCTCTGAGAAGCCTTCTCTGTTCCCCCCAGTCGGGGTTCACAGGTCTCTCCTCTGTAATCCCCACAGTCCATTTCCACGGTTCTGCTGCTAACCCTCAGTGGCCCTTGTCTTATCTGTATCTGCCTTTGCAGTTGGACTGTGAGCTTTCTTAGGGCAGGGGCCATGCTATTTATCTCTGCTTCCCCAGCATCCCCCCCAGACACTTGGCTAAAAGTAATAGTGACACCCTCAGATAGGCAGATGACACTACCCTTATGGCAGAAAGCAAAGAAGAACTAAAGAGCCTCTTGATGAAAGTGAAAGAGGAGAGTGAAAAAGTTGGCTTAAAACCAACATTCAGAAAACTAATATCATGGCATCTGGTCCCATCACTTCATGGCAAATAGATAGGAAAGCAATGGAAACAGTGACAGACTTTATTTTTGGGGGCTCCAAAATCACTGCAGATGGTGACTGCAGCCATGAAATTAAAAGATGCTTGCTCCTTGGAAGAAAAGTTACGACCAACCTAGACAGCATATTAAAAAGCAGAGACATTACTTTACCAACAAAGGTCTGTCTAGTCAAAGCTATAGTTTTTCCAGTAGTCATGTATGGATGTGAGAGTTGGACTATAAAGAAAGCTGAGCACTGATGAATTGATGCTTTTGAACTGTGGTGTTGGAGAAGACTCTTGAGAGTGTCTTGGACTGCAAGGAGATCCAACCAGTCCATCCTAAAGGAAATCAGTCCTGAATATTCATTGGAAGGATTGATTTTGAAGCTGAAACTCCAACACTTTGGCCACCTGATGTGAAGAACTGACTCATTAGAACAGACTCTGATCCTGGGAAAGATTGAAATCAGGAGAACAGGATGACAGAGGATGAGATGGTTGGATGGCATCAACGACTCGATGGACGTGAGTTTGAGTAAGCTCCAGGAGTTGGTGATGGACAGGGAGGCCTGGAATGCTCCAGTCCATGAGGTCACAAAGACTTGGACGCGACTGAGCTACTGAACTGAACTGAACAATGGCAGCATCAGCGACAATAACAGTAGTGGACTTTTATGGAGGATTTAAAAGGTGATTTTACTGAATCCCTCAGAACAATAAAATGACGCAGATACTATATCTAATTGTATTTCACAGGCAAGAATTTGGGGACTTTAAAAAACTGTGGAAATGAGGGAGCTGAGAATTGAACCTAGGGTGCCCAGTTGCCAGCTAACTGCTCTTACCCAGTGGTTCCATTTGGTGCTTGTGAAATGTTTGTTGAGTGAATAATCAAACACATCAATGAGCAAATGAGTAATGGGGGGGGGGAAATCACAAAAATATAGAAAAATTATCCACTCCATTGACTAAAGCAAGGCGTTTCCTAGAATCTACGTAATGATCATAAACATTTTCCTCCATCATCCAATGGTGGACCCCTCACCACTCAGGAAAATTCC